CCCCATCCACTCAACATTGCATTGCTCTACCGGGGGGGAAATGAACTGATCCTCTGATGTGTTTTTGTGAAAGTGCGTTCTGTGTATCATCTATAGCTTTGTGAGTAATTCTAACGCGCTGCAGCTCCTATATGGATCACCCTGCACTGTTCTGCTGCTGCCTGCAGCTGACATATGTCACTGGTACTTTCTGCCAAAGAAACAGACCTCATGAAAACTTTTGACGTCAGATCCCATTTGTAAAGTTTCTGGAAAGAAGTATTGCTTTTGAATCATTTAGTTTTAAGCCCAAAAACCCATCCAATATTTTGATGGAATGGAATTTTATTTGACCAATGGGTTCCTTTTGGCTGGAAATGACATAAAAAAATAGTCACCAAAAATGGTAACTGCATTGCGTTAATGTTAATTATACATTTTGACAATTTCTACATTTTGTTTTACATTTTTGCTATAAATGCCATGTCCAGAGTTTATCAAGCTCTTTCTCACTCATCAGTACAAATGTTTTTTTATGCCACCGCAGCAATTATACAGATCTTGTCATTGCTAACAGGCTTTCTGCTTGTCTCCACTGGGGTTTTGTTCCACCCCTCTTTTGTGACAATCTCCACATCTTTAAGGTTGGAAGGCTTCCCTGTTGTCACTCTGATTTCTCTCTTTTTCTTTAGTTGTATGTTTCAAGTCGATGTCTTGTTTGATGCTGCCCAAGGCCAAGTTTTTCCGCAGACGATCTATTGTTTTAACTTAATCTTAATGTGCTCGTGTCTCATGATGCCTTTTACTTGGACAAGGTATCCTGGCCAATTAACTACTAACTGCTCTCAAAGCATCACGTTCACACGATCATACTTTAACCATGGGGATGGAGCTCATGAGGTTAAAAGGTTGTTCTTTCTTTTGCCAAACAAAGGGCTGCATGCCTGAGTCCAAACAACTCAGTTTCTATCTAATCTGACCACAGAATTGGTGACCACAAAGGCTTTTTTCTTTGTCCAAGTTTTGCAAAGGCTAAGCAAGCTTTTATGTGCCTGTCGTAGAGAAGCAGAGTCCTCCTTGGTCAGTTTTCATCAACACCAGCCTTTTTCAGTCTCTGCTGGGGTGTCATGACTGAGGTGTTGGTACCAGAACCACTCGGATTCATCAGGA